AGTGGCATGTTCCTTCAGTAGCTGTGAGAATGAAGCATGTTTTTTGGGGGGGCTTTTTTTGCTGAGCTCCGGTTAGAGTGAATTAAACAGAGCGTACTGACTGTTTCGTGACGATTAGAGCGGGACCAGAGCTGTCCGAATGGAGGCACAGAGGTCTAGGTGAGATGTGGATTGGTATGACATTCACAGATGCTTGCTGAAATCCCCATTGCTCAGGTCTGGGAAAGGCAGCAACAAGGACAGAATGAACTCTGGGTGTTTGTTGCACTGTGTCGTATGTGGACTTTTTTTTTCTTAGTCCCTGTTGTGACAATAAACTTTTCTTTCTTTCTTTGTGTTTATTTTTTTGGACACTGCGCACCGGAAACACGCACTTTATATATATATATATATATATATATATACATACTCTCAGAAAAAAGGTACAAAAGCTGTCACTGGGGCTGTACCATTTAAAAAGGTACACTTTTGTACCCAAAGGCTGCATATTGGTACTTTATATTAGCACCTAAAATGTACATATTAGCACCTAAAACGTACATATTAACACATAAAATGTACATATTAGCTCATGAAATGGACACATTAGCACCTAAAATGTACATATCAACACTTAAAATGTACATATTAACACCTAAAATGTACACATTAACACCTAAAATGTTCTTATTAGCACCTAAAATGGACATATTAGCTCATGAAATGGACATATTAGCACCTAAAATGTACATATCAACACTTAAAATGTACATATTAGCACCTAAAATGTACACATTAACACCTAAAATGTTCTTATTAGCACCTAAAATGTACATATTAGCACTTAAATTTGACATATTACTTAAAATGTACATATTAGCACCTGAAATGGACAAAAGTTTACCTTTTGAAAAGGTACAGCCCCAGTGACCACTTTTGTACCTTTTTTCTGAGAGTATAAGATAAATACAAACAAAAATATACAATAATAAACATCTTATTCCCTTATAATCTGATGTTTATCTGTTCATGATACAAAACAATATATAATTTCGTATTGTCAGTTTATTAAAAACGTCAGTTTATTTATAATGTCATATTTTATAATATTAATTTATTCTCTAAATGTACTATATTTGAAAACTTTTGTTTTATTTTATTCTGTTCCTTTCAAAAAGCTAGGAATTGACTGTTTATTCACTGTTTAATAAAATGTTAATGGTAACACTGAAAGATATTTTTCCATAGTGTTTTAGCATTATGTAATTACATAAGTGTGGGTGTGTGTACAGGTTTGGCTATACTTCTGAGGGCCACTGTAACTCACTTATACAGTGAAACAACCGACTAGCGAGGACATTTTTGGTTGGAAACTTTTTTTTATTTGAACTTTTCTGTGAGGGTTGTAGTTAGGGGTAGGGTTTGGTTTGGTTTGGTTTAGGCAATTGAAAATATAATTAACTTGATATAAAATCATGGAATACTGAAATTTATATCTCACTAATATAGTGAAACAATCATGTGTATGTGTGTGTGAACAGTTGCTCACATGTTCTCAGTCCACTGATGAGTTACTTATACTGTATAAGTAACTAGACACAAGTCATCCCTCTGTGGATTTCATTTGTTTTGCCCATCATCCATAACCATTAAACTGTCTCATTTTGGATTTCAAAGGCAACTTCTAAGGAGTGTAATATGATCAGTTTACTATCTCTGTTCAGCATGACCTAGACAAAACCACTTAGGTGAAAAACATTAGAGCTAATATAGTGCTGGGGACCTTGTGTGTTGTGTCCTCAGGTTGGGATGGAGACCCACATACATATGTTCATCTAACATTTCAAAACAGAACCAGAGGAACAAAAACATGGCCTTGTCCCCCATACTGAATCATTTTGGAAGCATACCGATCCTTGAAGGTCTCTCTCTCACACACTCACACACACGCACACACAGCTCTGTTTTCAGTGTTGCTCGGGGCCTGAAGGAAGGGCCGGTGTTTTCATTTCATATTCATAAATCATTCATACATCTCACAGCGTCCGTCTTTAGAAAATCAGCCCCTCGTCTTTATATTGAGATTCCAAATGTATTTCCTCATCCACATCACAGACGTAATGCCTCTGCCTGTCACTCTTTCACAGCTCTCAGGTTTGACGAGTGACACATTTATGAGATATTTTCACTAAGCGCTTATTCTTTTGTATTTCTGGCTCTAATACAATTAAATAAGATGTTTTAGCCCAACAAAGAGGGTGGAGTACCCCTGCGATGTGGGTAACCCCTTTAAAGTCAAGGTATTTTCCTGAAAACTGCAGTTGTCAAGTCCCAAAGAACGACTAAAAAGAGCAATCTGGATAAGACCATATTAAGCAACTACGGACCGATCTCAAATCTTCATTTTATAGGCAAGATCATTAAAAAAGTTGTTTTCAATCAGCTGAACAAATTCTTAAGCCGGACATACTTTGACAATTTTCAATCTGGTTTCCGACCGCATCACAGCACAGAGACAGCGCTCATAAAGATAATAAATGATATTCGCTTAAATACTGATACAGGCAAATTATCAGTGCTGGCACTACTAGACCTCAATGTGCCAATGCATTGATGAAGTCGACAGTTGAATGTGCCAAAACTTTCCTATCATTTTTAAGATTGATAGTCATCCAAATGCACGAGTTTTATCACGAAGGAGCCATACAAATTGTTCTTTTATGGATGTCACCTTGAGAAACAATTACCTTCCGAATAGGGCTTTGTATGCTGTTGTTTGCTTAAACTTTTTTCTATGATTAAATATTTTAACTTGTTATTATTTTTTTATTAACATTTTATGGTTTTATTATTTAGTTTAATAAACATAAAACAGTTTTATATATTGTACAAACCTTTGTGGTCATTTTGGAGCGGTTTTAATAATGTCGCCGGTTGTAATGCCCTGCGTGGGGTGTTCAATAACCCGTTTGGATCTCAGCCAGGGAATGTGAGTACAGAGAACATCTGGTGTGTGAGGAGATATCATAAAGCAACTACAGTTGCTCTTTTAATCACGTTCACTTAATAAAAGAGTGATGGTCTCCTGCAGGGCTGGGCCTCACACATCACAAATGGAATATTTGCACACACGCTCACATGTCAGATAACTCCTTAACTCACCAGCAGGTCGCCGTCAGTCTCTGCTGGCCCACCAACACTTTCTGTTTTTGATTCTTTTTCTCTCACTCTGGTTCTGTTATCGATTCACAGCCCTTCCCGTCTGGATGTTTTCTTTCGCAGTGGTTACTACACCTCAAGAATGAGGTTTTCTTAGGAAGTTAGTTTTTTATAATAAATATTAGTTAAAAATAATGCATTCTTTAAAATTAAGCTATATATTTTTAGCTTATTTAGCTTATATATATATATATATATATATATATATATATATATATATATATATAATAGTAATATATATATAAATAGTAATAGTTATATTTATATATATATATATATATATATATATATATATATATATATATATAAATTGCAAAAATTTGTAAATTAAATTAAGTTTACTTGGCACCCTAGTCTTCTTGGGGTCCACACAACATTTTGTTTTTTTTGTTTTTTAAAGGGAAGAAAAAACAACATTTTTTTACAAGTTTGAGATTAAATATGATTTCAGTTTATTGTTTTATTACAAGCTGTATTTTCATCAAATTTTACAAAAAGCTTTAGGATCATTCCTATTTTGCACCCGACGCACAGCAGACTTTTCCCTCCACAGGCGCATGTCGGTAAATTAGGGAATGAACTTGTGCTCCCGGTGGCGGTTCAGCGAAAAGATAAGGCGCGTTCCGGCGCAAACGTTGTGCTATTTTGCAGTTTCAATTATAATAGCAATCCGCTAATATAATGGAACAAGCTCGTCTGCTTTTAAAGGGAATGTGAGATGATGCTCTGATTGGTTTATTTCATGTTACGCCCAAACCACACCTTTGAGTAATGTAGCTACTTCAGACTAACCCATTTTAGATTTGCAAACAAAGTTTCTTGCATTTGGCGTGTGATACTTTTCAGTATCACATTTCAGATGGTACCTCGGGTCGTTAGCGACCTTATACTTTTTTTTACAAAAAATGAATGGGAAAGCAGGCATTCATTTATATTTATAATGTAAAATAATATAATTGAGGAATACTAAGAAGGTTTATGTCTAATTTTATAAAATGAATGAGGTGTAGTGAGTGTAGTGATTGACATACCGGGTCACTAAAGACCCGGGGTATGCATTTAAGGGTTAAAGGATATGCCATTTCTTGGTCTAGATTTTTTTTTTTTTTATGATTTACCTCTGCACATTACAGCCTGGGCTTCAAAGAGACAAATGCAGTATGTTCTCTTATAGTGCAAGTGCTTTAATGCTGCTCATTTTCGTCTTTGCGCACGCACACACACACACACATAGCCTTCACCAACCACAATCCAGTGTCTGTATCCTGTGCGCTGTCCTCTCAGACCCCCATTAGCCAGCCGCACAGTGTCTCTAGAAGAGGCCATCAACACCAGTGCGTGAGTGAGAGACAGGTAGTGATGTATCCAGTTAAGGCCCTCCAGCTTCTTGTGGTTTTCATTTAAACACAGCTTTCAGCTATAACAGCTCACTCTTTCTCTTTCCTCACCATCCTGGGTTTCTCATGCCGCCCATTGCAGCATGGAAGATTAGACCAAAATATTGCAAGGATGGTTGTGTGATCTCAGAAAGACATTTAAAAGTTTTGTCTGAGACACTTTGTAGCAAGAAAACCAGGCATTTCCACCTGAATAGTTTGTTGCTTTGAGTCTGATTTCAGATTTTTGCACCCCTAGTCAATTGATATGTCACTCAGAAGGTCACGTCCTAACTAAATGGGTTGTTTTTGACCTGGATAAGCTGTAACTGATGTTTATGCCTATAAGTTAAAGTCGGAATATGTGTGACTGACTACATCATGATTTCTGATGTCAGATTGTGTGTGTGTGTGTTTTCTCCACAGCAACAAGAGCAGGACCCCACTAACTTGTACATCTCGAACCTTCCGGTTTCAATGGATGAACAAGAGCTGGAGAACATGCTGAAGCCTTTCGGACATGTCATCTCCACACGGATACTCCGAGATGCCAACGGGGTCAGTCGAGGGGTCGGTTTCGCCAGGTAACCTTGACAACCAACCCTTTGGCTCATGCAAGACTAGACAGCGTTTGTTCAAGAGGGCACATATAAAAACATCCCTTAGTGTCTTTCTTTTCCTGCTCCCCTCCCACCCCTCTCCCCCTTTTGTGTGGCGCGTGTGGGGTGGGTTGGCTGGTTTTCAGGGTCACTGGCTGTGTAAGAGATCCCAGCAGAGGCTGTGTGTGTATATGTGTGTGTGTTTGTACAATTGTGCCAGCCAGGCAATTAGCCGTTCAGCCATGATTGGGTGAGCAGAGCTGAATGGGGCCGCACAGAAGAGAGAAGCCACTCCAGAGAGCACAGACTAAATCAAGACTCCCAGCAGCCCGAAACAAACACTATATAACACCCCTGCCATTCTTTATTTTCCCTCTCTCACTCTTTCTAACCCTCTTCATTCTCGAAATTAACATATATGGAGGTTTCTTCAATTACAGGAGTTTTAATGTCCCTGAGGTTAATAGATTTAACTTTTTATGTATATATAAATTAGTGGTGGGCCGTTATTGCCGTTAACGTGAGACTCTAAAAAAATAAAGCTCCGCCCCCACTGTACTGATAGTCTAGCTCCACCCCTGGCCATCTTACAAACTACCTGCCAGGTTAATATTTTTTTTTTTTTTTTTTTTTGGGGTAGCACACAAAATATGAATGCCTTCGGCAGAATTCAAATGAGCCATTTTAATCTAGATTAATTCCAAGATTACAGTGAGATTAATCTAGATTAAAAAAATTAATCTATGCCCACCACTAATATAAATCACATTAAAACTTTGAACTTTGTATCATGCCTTTATCACTTATTTTGGATTATAATATTATATTATCATTTTGGACACAGATCTTAAACAAAACAAAATTCTGTATAGAAATATTAATTAATGATTTAAAATAAAATCTATTAGTGAAACATAGTGAAATGAACATGACATATTGATTGATTCGTTTATTCAATCATTGATTGATATTCCATCATATTTTGGTCCAAATTAAATTTTGTCAAAAGTTATTGTACTTGTTTATCAATGAGGCGACAATTTACATGATTTACATGAAATATGAGATGTGTAATGTGTAAAAAAAAAAATTACAGAATATTTTTACTTTGCATCATTTCTTATCAAGCTGTAGCTATACACTTGTCAAATAATTAAAAATGATTAAAAGTGTGAAGCTATTATTAAACTGTATTTGTTATACAATAAAAAGCTAGCCATGAGGTAAAGGAGTCACACTACATAATGTTGTCTAACAAAATCAAAATACATCATTTAAAATATGGTGGAGTTACATTTTTTTTTTTACTTCATTTCAGAAACATTACGGGTTGTTACAAGTCCAATGGATTACACATCGACTTGCCATTTGCGAATAGAATGCTTTTTTTATTAACAGCTCTACATGACAACACGATCCCGGATATTCAACTGCCCACATACGTGTGTGAGTTACGTACATATGCATCACGGGGAGGAGAGAACAGACGTTCTTAAAGAGCCCAGCACATATAAAGTAACATGTTCATAATACACAAATTATATTGTATTTCTGTACAGATCATTATCACAATGATCTACATCCCTTTCCTTTAGCTGAAACTACCAATCGTAGAAAGAGAATAAACATACATAACAACGATCAGTACTGTTGTATTAAAGTAACTTAATCAAACATCCAAGAACATGAATGACTTCCCTTGTAACAATGTATCCTTTGCATTGAACAACTGTGCAAATACAAATCAACAGATGCAAATCAAAATGTGATCTCTACATGCACAAAGAAAACACATAATAAAGAATAATGTTGACAATATGGAAATTAGCATAATCAACACATTTATCCGGCACTCAGAATAAGACCCAGAGTGAGTGTCGCTAATTCTCCCATTGTTGGTACTTTGGATTTGGCTTGCAAATGCGACCTGAACGTGTTATGTAAGGTGCATTATTGACCTTAGTGGGAGACTGTACTGAGTTCTTTGTCAACTTAGGTGTGGATTCTGGTTGTGGGACGTGTATTTGTGGTGAGTTTGGCATATGGGGAACAGAGTCCTCAGTATGGGTAGCGGTGCTTTGAAAGTCAATGTTCTCTGGGGTGAGCTGTGATGGGGGGGCTCTGCTACAGGCAGGATGTGGCGTCGGTTCCTCCTGTATGTTCTCCCATTGCATTGGATGGTGTATGAGCGAGGCTCCTTGTTTACCTCTTTTACTGTGCCAAGGCGCTCATATCCTTTTGGCGTTTGCATTCTAACAACTTGTCCCTCTGCCAATGGCTGCAGAGGATGACTTGATGTGTCGAAGTAACGCTTTTGGGTCATCCTCTTTGCAAGAAGCTGTGCAGTGACTTGCTTGGTACATTTTGGGGCTGGCTCCAACAGTCTAGAGTTAACAGGAATGGCTGACCGTGTCTGTCGTGACAACAGGCGTTGTGCAGGGGAACCCAATGTTGGGTCACGAGGAATGTTTCTCAGATTCAGGAGGTTAAGAAACACATCCGTGCCATCTCTGTGGGATTTCTCCATCAGCTGTTTTGCGCTGCGAACTGCCCTTTCTGCCAGGCCATTCGACTGTGGGTACTCTGGACTACTGGTGACATGAATGAAGTCCCATTGTTTGGCAAAGTCTCTGAATTGCTGACACGTGTACTGAGTAGCATTATCAGAAATGAGTGTATGAGGTGTGCCGTGCACTGAGAAATGCCGCTTTAATTTCGTGATTACAGCTGATGACGTTATGTTGCGGAGAAAGTCAATCTCATACCAACCCGAATATGAGTCCACAAGCACCAGATAATTTTGTCCATGCCACTCAAACATATCTGTTGCCACCGTGGACCAAGGCAGGTCTGGAACTGGGTATGGTCTTAATGGTTCTTTCTGTTGGTGTGGCTTTGTGCTGTTGCAGACTGAGCATGAGAGGAGTTCTGCCGTGATGTCAGCCGTCATCGTTGGCCAGAAAATGATACCTCTTGCTCTGTGTTTGGTAGCGTCCAGCCCCGGGTGGCCTCTGTGGACTATTTCGATATATTCTCTCTGCAATGAGCGAGGAATGACTGTTTTGTGGCCTTTCATCACTATTCCGTTTTCCACAGCAAGCTCATCTCTGTAGGGAAAGTATGGACGCAAAGAGGGCCGCACGCCATGTTCTTTAATTGGCCAACCTCGTTGAATCACAGTGCTTAGATCCTGTAACACATCATCGTCCGCCGTATGCTTTCTGAGTTCCTCCAGTCTAGCAGTGGAAATGTAGCTGATAGACATGACCTCGAATGTGTCATTTTCAGTGTCTGGTTGGACTTGAGTGTCTGGAGCTCTAGATAGGGTGTCTGCAAGGTACATGAGCTTACCCTTCTTGTACACCAGGGTGATGTCATAGCACTGTAACCTGAGCATCATTCTCTGTAATCGTGCAGGAGCTGTGTGGATTGGTTTTTTCAGAATTGTTACCAGGGGCTGGTGGTCCGTCTCAACGAGTGTAGGTTTCCCATATACATAGTCCCTGAACTTTGTACAGGCAAATACGACAGCTAGCAGCTCCTTCTCTATCTGCGCATACCGTGTCTCTGTGTCTGTGAGTGTGCGAGACGCATACGCAACTGGTTTTCCCTCCTGCATGCATGCAGCGCCCAGCCCGAAGCTGGAAGCATCGCAGGTTAACGTAACTGGCTTCTTCACGTCGTAGTATGATAATACGGGTGGAGTGGACAAACATGACTTGAGGGTGTCAAATGCTTGTTGGTGTTGCTGGTACCAGCACCATACTGTCTCTTTGTGTGTCAGCTTTCTGAGGGGCGCAGCAATGTCACTGAAGTTTGGGATAAATTTCCCCAGATAATTTGCCATTCCGAGGAAGCGCTGTAATGCAAGGACATCCTTCGGGGCTGGCATCTCAGAAATTGCTTTCGTTTTGGAAGGATCAGCTTTTAGGCCTTCCCTTGTAAAGATATGGCCCACATAGCTGACTTGGTCCAGCCGAAATTTGCATTTGACGGGGTTTAGCTTGAGTTTGATCTCACGGGCTCTGTCCAAGACCCTTTTCAGGTTGATGTCATGTTCAGCAGGGTTGCGACCTCCGATGATGATGTCATCAACAATTATCGCACAGGGGTACCCTGAAAAGAGCTGCTCCATTGAGCGCTGGAACACCTCGCTTGCGGAGTTAATGCCAAAGGGCATACGGAGAAATCTATAGCGCCCAAATGGAGTGCTAAATGTTGTCATCATGGAGGACTTGTGGTCGAGGCGTACCTGCCAGAAAGAGCTCTTTGCATCTAGCACGGAAAATACGGTTGCTCCCGACATTCGAGATGCTACTTCCTCTACGCTGCGCATAGGGTGATGGGGTCTTTTTAAAGCCATGTTGAGGTCTTTTGGGTTAATACACAACCTGATTTCTTGTCTGTCCTTTTTGTGTGTAACCACCATGGACGAAACCCAATCTGTCGGTTCTGAGACTGTCGTTATGACGCCAAGGCTCTGCATGCGGTCCAGTTCTGCTTTGACACGACTTTGCATTGCCAGAGGAATGCGATGAGCAGGGCGAACTACTGGCTGCACGCTGGGGTCTACTGTCATCGAATATGTAATTGGAAGTTCTCCGAGCTGGTCTGTAAATAAGTCCTTGTACTCTGTAAGAATATCTCTGGTGCCGCCTTCCGTACTGACATGATGCACATCTGGGCTGATTGTAACGATCGCCATGTCAAGGCAGGCACGGAATCCCAACAGTGGTTGAACATCTCGATCCACCAAAAAGAATGACAGTGGATAATCTTGCCCATTTAGGCAACATTGCAATGAGACCAAGCCTTTCGTTTCAATTTTAGCTCCACCATAAGCTACAAGGTTGGGTGTCTCTGAATGTTTCACTGGCCGTTCGTTGTTGGCAATTTGTTCAAAAGTCTTTTGTGAAATTACGTTACATTTTGCCCCAGTGTCAACTTTCATCTCGATTGGAGTTTTGTTTATGTGTACAGTGACAAATCCCTCCTCCAGCACTGGCATGCAAGGGTTAACAACGTTGACACACTTGTCAAATTCAATGCCATCAACATAAAAGGTGTCATCATGGTCAGGGAGTTTGTCTACCTCAAGTTCATGTACCGCTTTCCTGTGATTAAATTTCTTTTGACCAATTTGACTGCGTGCTTTGCAACATTTCTTGTAGTGATTCATTTTCTTGCAGTTATGACATTGTTGTCCAAATGCAGGGCATTTTTCTTTCTTTGCTGCATGATTACCTCCGCAATTTCTGCAATTGGTTATAGTTGAATCATGTTGTTCTGTTCTTTGTTTATGTTTTGTGTTTTGGCGCCACCTGCTGGAAAACGGCTGTATTGCGTCAACGTTTGTTGCAGTCTGAGGTAGGCTAGCCAACGTCTTATTATTTTCTTCCGTCATTTCATGTATGCGACAAATTGAGATTGCTTTGATCAGAGTTAATTCGCTGTCTCTCAGCAGTACTTTCCTTAAGCTTTCATTGTTGATGCCACATACAATCCGATCACAGATCAGCTCATCCGTCAATTCTCCAAAATGACAACTTTTAGCTTTAATCTTGAGATCACTGATGAAAGCCTCAATAGCCTCACCTTGTTTCTGATTTCTTGAGTGAAACTTGTGCCTCTCCATTGTTTTATTTTGTTGTGGGTTGCATATTTCACGAAATTTCCTTTTCAGGCACTCCGGATCCTCTCTGGATTCCGCGGGAGTTACGATCGCGCCGTCCTCGCCTGGTGCACGCACCTCCGCTGCATAGACAAATGAACGCTCCCGTTCAATGGCTTCCGACCCTGCAAGATTGAGGAGGATATATGCCCTTGTCCTGGCAGGCTTGTCATGATGTGCTGCGGCGATGAAAATGTCGTACTCTTGCTCAAAAATTCGCCAACTGTCGGCGATATTTGCATCAAAAGTGAGCGGGTCTGGTCTTCTAAAACAGTCCGCCATTATCACATTATCATTATCACCGCGCGGTCGTGAGAAAACTATAACGAGCAGATCAGCCTTTCTTACACCGTTGGTTCACTCACGGGCGAAAGGTCCGTGTCGACTTCTGACACCATGTTACAAGTCCAATGGATTACACATCGACTTGCCATTTGCGAATAGAATGCTTTTTTTATTAACAGCTCTACATGACAACACGATCCCGGATATTCAACTGCCCACATACGTGTGTGAGTTACGTACATATGCATCACGGGGAGGAGAGAACAGACGTTCTTAAAGAGCCCAGCACATATAAAGTAACATGTTCATAATACACAAATTATATTGTATTTCTGTACAGATCATTATCACAATGATCTACACGGGTGATTTATAGAATAATATTTATATATCTAATGTATGTCCACTGTTAGTCATTGTCATAGACATATTACACTGTTGAGAGTATGAGAAGTGTGTTTTATATGTCCACAGGACCAAAAATGCCCATACTTAAAGAAACAGTCAAAAAGTTAAATCTGTTCAGTTGTCAATGTTTTCACTGCAGTTATGACCGATGACTTCAATTCTGATTGCATCATGTTTCTTTTCGTTTCTCTTTCTGTCTCAGAATGGAGTCCACTGAGAAATGTGATGTGGTGATTCAGCATTTCAACGGAAAGTTCCTCAAAACCCCACCAGGAGTACCAGGCAAGTGTCAACAATACAGTGTCTTCTGAGAATATTACATCTTAACCAGGTGCAAAGCAACAAAGTTACAATCATCAGGACATTTTGTTGTGTGTGTGTGTGTGTGTGTGTGTGTGTTTACAGCTCCATCCACAGTAAAATCACATCGCTCTGAGTTCCCTCTCCATATAGCTGTATATTAAAGGAATAGTTCAACCAAAAATGACAGTTATGTCATCATCTACAGTACTTGCTCTCATGTTGTTTCAAACCCGCATGTTTTTTTTTCTAAGTAAATCACAGAAATCTATTTTTTTTATATGAATTGGGCCTTTAATATTAAATATGTTCTGATTTTCTGATTTTGACAGCATAATTACACCTGTATAGCTCTCTGCCGAGCTTTATATGTCAGAATACTAAACCTCCAAGTACAACGCGATCCAAGCCTCTAGTGTGAGGCAGTACACGTCCCCCACTTTGAGTCGCTCTGCTCATCAGCTTCATATGACAGGATCTGATTTATAGGTTGATTAAGGTTTAATTTAAGCCTGGTGTGCCAGAAGAAAACAGTTCCCACAGGGCAGCAGAATGTGCTCCATTCACTAGCGACAAACATTTATAATGAAGATAGCATTTAGAACACATTTAACTTGGATTACTTGACGTATTTTAGAGTGATACTGAATATTAGTGAGAGATGATGTAGGGCGGGACTTGATTTTATCTACCCACATTTAATTGAATTGTGAAAATCGGGCTATGATATTACTGGTTAATTTGCAGACTTATTCAAAAAAGGGGCAAATGTGTCATTGGATTTTGCTGATAGATTTTTCTTTAATAGAACAGCGTTTGCGGCAAAATGTTGATTATGACAAAAATGTCCACCTGTCCTTCCTTTTATTTAAAAAAAAAAAGCTAAATGGTGAGCAGGGAATTGGTGTAGCCTCAAGACGTAAATCTCTTTATATAGTTTTTAAGGCGGAAAAAATTATTACTAATTAATTTATTGAAATTTCATAACATTGTTGCCATGACAACGTAATAAGTCAAGTTTTATCCAAAAATGGTCCCCATTCACTGTCCATTTGTGTTTATTTTAAAGAAAATGAGGAATAATAATCTAAAAGTATTTTCCATAGTAATCAACATTATGCTACAAATGCTGTCGATTGAGCTTATTTTGTATTCAACTCAGTTTTTTTTAAGCAACACTTATCAGTAATGCACAAAACGACCGGAGACATTTATTAAGAAAGTAAATTATGATTTCATGTCGCCTTTAAAAGCGACAAATGCTTTATATCACAGACGCCCACAAAAATAATGGGTAAACAGTGTTGTTTAATGGGGTAGTTTTGCAAAGCTCAGGGTATTTTCCTCAGTAATGTGCTTGGTGTTTGTTCCCCTGCTGTTACAGAGCTTTCTTGTTTCCTTTAGACTAGAGGATGGAAAAGGCGAGAGCTGGACAGGTTAAGGTAGATGAGAGAGAGAATATATGATTTCTGTTGGATGCAGTATGTTATTGTGTGTGTCTGTTTTCTGTTTAAAGGAGACATAGACATAGGCAGAGGGCTTGGAGGGGGTGTAAAAGCAACTGACAAGACAGAGAGAGAGAATAGGAAGAGAGAGATTGGAGAGGGCAGCCTGCAACTCTGGCAGTTGCTGTGTGATTTGTGGGGTGTAGCGTGAGGCTCGGTGTCAGACCCAAAGACAGAGGGATGATGGATGGCTTCATCTATACCTCTCTCTCTCTTAAAGGCTCTCTCCCTGTCTTTTCTCAGTACTAACAGACTCCTGGCCAACTCGGTCTTCTCTTTACCTTTACACTGTGTCTTAACTTAGTGAACGTGATAAAGCGACAAGCCATACAAATATTTTCCATGTAAATCTGAGCTGTTCCTTTCCATGAAGACCGTGACAAGCAATAAGCATTTTTTCAGTCGCATGGTTTCTATTTCTGCAGTGTCACATGATCCTTCAGAAGTCATTCAAATATGCTGATTTGATGCTCAAGAAACATTTCTTATAATTATAAATGTTGAAATCATTAAGAGGGATCATTGAGGGTGTTGAGGGTGAAGTTAATTAGATCAAACAATTCATCAAAATGATTAGACACAAAAACAAAAACTCATTTGCAAATCATATTATATATATATATTGAATAATTATATATATATATATATATATATATATATATATATATATATATATATGAAGAGTTCAGATACAAAAGCCTCTAAATGCCATTTGAAATTTTCTTTTTTAATGAAGATTTTTATCAAACTTGTATATTTAAGTTCAGTAAATTCACTTAAATAACAATTAATAGGTAATTATCATAGCCATTTAAATGAAATCACTGAACTTAAATATACAAGCTTAATAAAAATGATCATTGTAGAAGAAAATTTCAAATGGCACTTAGAGGCTTTTGCATCTGAACTCTTCACTCTTCATATATATATATATATATATATATATATATATATATTGAATAATTTATATATATATATATATATATATATATAAATTGAATAATATATATAATACAATACTGACATAATACAAACTTGGGGCTCTGAAGACTGCAAATATAGCAGATACGTCATATCTTGTTGGTCCCCATCCACCTACTCTGTTTGAAAGAGAGAGAAAAAAAGGCATCTTCATACCTTCTCCTTTTGTTTTGCTTTGAAGTCAATGTCAAATCGGTTTGGAACAATATGGGGATGAGTAAATGATGACAGAAATTTCATTTTATGGTGAACTATCCCTTTAAAAAGCAATTTGGGAAAAAAACAACAACTGAAAGAGCTTCTTTTGAGAAATATGGAAGGCAGAGAGTGAGAATGAGGTGATATTGTGCTCTTTAAAGTCAGGAATATTGCTACAATCTTTGCCAGCCTTCTGATAATGCATTCAGCCTTGAAAAGGAGCCATGCATGTATTGATATCCAGGTTTAAAGCTCAAAAATAGCATCTCATCGATTTTCTCTCCCTCCCGTCCTTCTTTTTCCATCTTTCTATCTCTCTCTCCCTCCCTCTCTCTCTCTCGCTACTAAGTGGATCATACGAGCGTGTGGAATAGCTGTGTTTTGTACAAGTGGTTCCTCTTGAATCTTGCTGTGCACTGAAGATTCTCTCGAACAGGTGTAGCAGTATTAAAACATCCGATATAAGAGATCCAATCTGCTGTATGCTTTTACACCTATTGATTGTTGAAATTTGTTTTATTTGAGAGAGAAAGGAAAAGAAAAGGAAAGGAGCTCTTCGTCTTTTAAAGGGATAGTTCATCCTAAAAGGCTTTCATCGTTTACTCGCCCGTATGGCTTTCATGAAGCACTTGCTGTCACTTGTCTAGTCTTTTCTGCTCGTCTCTCTTGTCTCCATCTGCTGTAGGTGTGTGTGTGTTTTCTCGCGTGTTGTCCTGATCCAGCTTACTCAGGCTTTTCTAACAGGCCACAACGGGGCCATCAGACCTGCATGCTCTCATAATTACACGGGCTCTTAGGCAACATGCTGATGCAGTAGATAATGATGACGAGCGTGTAACGCTGTGACCCCTCCATCACGCATGGGACGTCCAGTACTTCTTTCCGTTCTGCCGATCTTCTATGCTCAGCTCAAGCCTGTGGGCTTTGTCAGATCTTGGAGTGCGTTTCAGGCAATTTGGCCAGCACCTGATCTTGACTGGATCCCCACCCCCCTCCCTTCATCTCTTCGTCTCTCCCTATTCATGAGCATAGTGGCCTGAGGGAAGTCTTAATGGTGTGGGTATGGGAATCACACTGTGGATTTGCTGTCATAACACCACACACACACACACACACACACACACACACACATATGCATACATTCTGGAACGTTTTATTTGAGGTAATTGAAGGTAAAAAGAGAAAGGTTGCGACAGAGGCACAATTTCTCATTTGACATTCTATGACACACGGATAACACTAATCTACCTATAACTGAACAAGTGGGAGTGGGTATATGTGACAAGGGGTAAAGGTTTGGCTGGTTAGTTTGGCCCCTGCTGGTTGATGATGTAACTACACCATCTTGCAACAAAAAGTATTTTTCTACATTTTAATGGTCATTCAAAAAGTAGCGGTCTATTGTGAATTTGTTACAACATATAAATATAAATATAGAAATAACTTGTAGATCATTTTAAATATATAATATTTCAGTGCAATGTTTTTAGTAAAATGTTTTACAGGTGCCATAAATAAAAAATAGAAAGGACTTGGACTTGTGCATGCTTTTGTGTTTCCATTATTTTATTTTCACTTATTATTCGATTTATTTACTCTATTTTATTTTAATGAAATATTTATATTCAAATAAATAAATAAACACATTTTATGTTTAATGATTTTTATTTTGCTATATTTGTTTTCCTTTCTTCATTTAGCAGATGATTTTATCCAAAGCGAAAATTCATCTTATTTAAAAATTAATTTATTAAAAGAAATATATATATATATATATATATATATATATATATATATATATATATATGTATGTATATATATTGTCATTGAAAATTCTGAGATAGACAGACAGGCAGGGTCTTGTAAATGTTTTTTCCCACAGGCTGATCGGTAAAGTGACTTGTTAAATTGCTCTGTTTGTGTGTTAGCTCTGACTGAGGGAAAATGTAGGCTTGTACTGAAGTGCTTACAAGCCCACTGACAGTAAGACCGTGAGAGAGAGAGTACTTACACCCCACTGTCTGTGCTGATGGAAGGAAAGGCTAAATTATAGGGTGAGAGGCCAGGCTTGTGTGTGTGTGTGTGCGGCATCGGGGTGACCTATCAAATTTGGTTCCACTTGAGAGACAGGAAAAGCGATACTGGGAAATCAAGCTGCCACGGACCGATACACTCTCTGAGGAGTTTGTTTGAATGGGACATGTGTCAGTAGTGAGGCCAGATATCATTAACTGAAAGACCTAGTTGACAAGGGTGGAGCCTTGTTCTAAAAAATAAATAAATACAAACATTTTAAAA